CCAACCTCATGAGGGTTTAGCCCTTGCAACTGTTTTATTTACTGGAGTTCTGTTCTGGGGCATGTGAAATGAAAGCTTTTGAAGAACTGGAGTCTTCAGTTAGGTCTCAGCCCTCTCATTTTATAAACATAACAGTTAACTGATAAAACACATTGATAGTTTGATATCACCTCTAACACTAATCAGCAAAGTTGAAAATTTCATAATTTTGAAATCTTATGCATTTATTTTATAGAATCATAGAGTTGGAAGAGTCCTCCAAGTCCAACCCCCTGCACAATGCAGGAAATTCACAAATACCTCTTCCCCCACCCCCAGTGATAGCTGCTCCATGCCCAGAAGACGGCAAAACCCCTCCAGGATCCCTGGCCAAATTGGCCTGGAGAAAAATTGCTTCCTGAACCCACCGTGCAGATCAGCATTTCCCTGGACATGTAAGAAAGGGCCACAAGACCTAAGCGCTGAGGCAACCCTTCATCCCCTCCCTCTCATCATCTGCCTAAGTTCACACAATCAGCATTGCTGTCAAATGGCCATCTAACCTCTGTTTGAAAACTTCCAAAGAAGGAGAACTCACCACCTCCCAAGGAAACCTGTTCCACTAAAAGTACTGCTCTATCAGGAAGTTCTTCCTAATGTTTAGCCAAAAACTCTTTTAATTTCAACCTGCTGGTTCTGGTCTGACCTTCTGGGGCAACAGAAAACTTGGTGCCCAAAACTGAACACAATACTCTAGGTGAGGTCTAACCAGAGCAGAGCAAAGTGATAACATCACTTTGCATAATCTGGACACTTTACTTCTGTTGATACAGCCCAAAATCACATTTGTATTTTTAGCTACCGCATCACACTGCTGACTTGTGTTCAGTGTATGGTCTACTAAGATCCCTAAATCCTTTTTGCCCATACCATTGCCAAGACACGTCTCCCCCATTCATATAATTATGCATTGGATTTTTCCTACCTAAATGCAGAACTTTACATTCATCCCCATTGAAATTCATTTTGTTTTAGCCCAGTTTTCCAGTCTGTCAGGATCATCCTGTATCCTGACTCTGTATTTGGTACCCCTCCCAATTTAGAACCATCTGCAAATTTAATAAGCATTCCCTCTATTCCTCTATCAAAATCATTGATAAAGATGTTGGACAAAGCAGGTACCAGGACAAATCCTTGAGGCACTCCACTTGTCACTCCTCTCCAAGACGATGAGGAACCATTAACAAGCACTCTTTGGGTGTGATCTCTCAACCAGTTACAGATCCACCTAACAGTAATAGGATCCAAACCACATTTTTCCAATTTGTCAACAAGAATATTATGTGGAACCTTATCAAAAGCCTTACTGAAATCTAGACAAACTATAATCTACAGCATTTGTTTCTGGATACGGAATATTAAAACTTTCAAATTTCAAGGCACTTGCATCTATGCTGGGATTTATTCAGTTTTCATTAGCTTTTTACCTTACGTTTTGTGTTATTTCAGCATGACAAAGCCGGGGGGGGGGATTCAAATTAAATAATGTTCCATTGGCAGAATTCCCTATGCATATCACCCCATAAAGATTTTCATTTACCGAACTCTCCCCTCTACTCTAAGAAATATCCTTCACTGATACAAAACTATTTGGGAAAGGTGCAAAACAGATATGCCCCATGGGTAGAATGTCATCATGTCTAGTTCTGGATCAACAGGGCATGACTGTTGCAGCAAAAGTCTTGGAAGCTAATGAGTGTAATATTATAGGAGAGAGCTGTAACAACTCCAGTCCTACCCTCTATTTCTGTTTATAGAAGCACAATCCCCTGGGAAAAGAAACCTGGAACTCTAGACAATTCTTACTCTCCCTACCTACTCTAAATAGGCTTGCCAAGTCCCCCCGGGAGGCGGGGAAACCCCCGCCCAAGAGGCCCGTTCCCCACTGCCGGCGGATCGGGCCCCGGGGGGGACCCCACCCCCAAAGCACAGAATGTGCCCGGCATCAGCACGTCACCCGGAAGTGACGCAGCCACACTGGGCGCACCCGGCGCACCCGCGTCACTTCCAGGTGACGTGCTTGCAGCGCGCACGCACTCCCAAGGGAGGCCAGGAGTCTCCCGCTGTGGCTTGATTGTGACTTGGCAACCCTAACTCTAAAATGGAATTTTGTAACAACTGGCTTACTCCTCTCAAGTAGATATATGTGTAGGCTTCTGAGAACTATGTAGAGAACTTAGTTGCACCACGAGTCCTCATGTTCCCAGTATTTTCCTGAACGCTGTCTTTTCCTTTCTAACTTCACTCACTTGCTCTGAAATAAGCCCTGGCCTATATGATGCAAGGGCTGGCTGGCCACCTTCCTTCTAGCTGACCCCATTCAGCCTCCCCATTTCTCAGGCTATTCTTACGGAAGAATATACTCAAATATTTGCAAGTAATTCCGCTCAGCTAGGCTATACACTGGCAGGGAGCCCATTAACTCTGCAAGGACTAAGTTCATCTTGCTCCAGTATCACATACTGCACTTCTGTGCTGTGGTTGCCAGCTTCCATGGTTTGAAGGCTTTGAAAGCAACAGCTGCTAAAAAAATCTCAACTGACTTTAAAGAAAGATAGCTCTAAGCACAGATTTTGAGATGCGAATTTTCAAACTGTGTTAACATTCTATATTAATTGTTTTAGCTCTTATGATTTTAAGACAACATAAATATATCAATAGCTTTCTCTTGGAAAAAATGCTAAGACAATGCACAACTTACTCTGTGTAAATTAATACTTTTGCTTTCATCACAGTTTATTTCTGCAAGAGTCAGAGATATTATTTCTCAAACTGGGTGTCATAAGAAACTAGCAGGTGGAGTGCAATCAATCTGCAGATCTTACTGGTAACACGGTTATATGTAACAGGCAAAGTTCAGTGGCTCCAAGTGCTGCAGCCCCACAGCAGTCATGCAAAGAGAGAAATAAGGTAGAGCTCTTCTCTTTGCTGCAGGTCTGGATACCTCAAACTGGAAATTGCACCGGAACAAATGAGTGGAGCAGCCACTTGAGCAGACAAGAAGTTGCTCAGAGGGTGTATAAGCTAGGTGGCTATCAGAGAGTGGTCAGAAGATGAGATGCTAGAGGAGGTGTGCAACTTCAAAAGGTTTCAGGGGGTTAATAGTAAATGAGAACTGTTACAAAATGTTACTTGAATAGTTTATTTAATGTTTTTTGTATTTTCTTCATGACAGCCCCTTATGATTAAGGCTGATGATCTGAAAGGAATGTCCAAGGTCAACTGAGTATGAAGCAAGATTAAATGTGTTACTTTCACCTACATGAGTTACAAATAAGTATGAAGGCAATGAATTCTATAGAGCACTCACTGAAGAAGACCCTAATGCTGGGAAAGATTGAAAGTAAAAAAAGAAGGGGACAGCAAAGAATGAGATGGTTAGACAGTGTTATCGATGCAATGAACATGAAATTAAGCAAACTCCAGAGGATGACGGAAGACAGGAGGGCCTGGCGTGATATGGTCCATGAGGTCATGAAGAGTCAGACTCGACTGTGCGACTGAACAACAACAAACAAACACATAATGTAGAGAATGCCCATTTTACAAGTTGTATCAGAACAAATCTTAAATTATATTCATGACACCTAGCATGAGGCTGCAGAATGCAAAATTACTTCCTGGTTTGTAGGAAATATTTGTTGTTTGCAAACACTGATAAAATGAACAAAGTAGGGCCCTTCACACTACATATTCCTTCTTTCAAATCAGGGACAAGCTGTATAAAAATTAACAGCTTGATCTATGCTGCATAGCCAGCTTCATACCTCCCAGAAAGGCATTCCCATGAAACAAGAAAATCTTAACAATGATCCTCAGCACAGCAGCTCATTAAGAAGATACTAACATTGTATTGACTGGGAGGGAGCTGGTTAGCATTCTATTATGGCCCAATAAAGATAAACAAATACATGAGCTGTAAAAGACTCCTTCTTCCACTTACATGCAATCTCAGTTTATTGATCCCCACTACTGCTCACAGCAAAAATTCAACCTGGCGCTATCCATACCTGAATGCTGTGGAATTATTGGCCTTACTGGTGTAACCCTGTTCCTTTATAGTGATCTGAGAAACAGTGTTATGAAGATCAATTACCAAAAACAGATGATCTGGGCTTTCCAAATTTCACGTGTTTCAAGAGATTTCTAAACATGCTCTTTCAGTTTTGAAACTAGGTGCATTTTTCAAAAATTATCCCATCAATCATAGCAAATAAGTCCACTCCATAAGGGCCAAACCAGATGTGAAGAGCAGTGTTTCCACCAATTCACATCAGCAGTGTGATGCGGTAGTGGGTATGGACCTGTTTAACAAGCATAAGTCTGCAGGTGAGGGAAGCTAAGCCTGTTCCCTTCCCAACCCTTACCTCCCTGAACCTTGGGGCTTTCAGTACTTCCTTCCTAGTTCACTTCTGGCACTGGAACAGGACTTGAAAAGTGCTGAAAGCACCAGAGCACAGCAAAAAAACGGTGACAGGGTTTAGCTCCCTTTAATCACGCAACCTACTTCAGAAATGAACAGGTGCACCCATTTATATGTACATGTAGATCCCCGTCATGTCTAGTTTAGTCCTAAAACAAGTCTCCGCTTTGACTTCATTTACCATAGCTCTATTCTGTCTGCCCTTCCAAGAAGCTATAATCAGCATACATCATTGGAATATGGCAAGTGGAAGTCAGGAAAAAATGTGCTGAGAAAAGTAATGCAAATTACAGCATTAATGTATATTCAGATTTTAATAAAATACCGAGATTATTCAAATATTTCTGAAGAACAGATTCTTCCATATGTTCGCATATACATTTTAAGTGAACATATCTTGGTTAACAAAATCTCTTTCTTCAAATATACTTCAAATGATATGGAGCAGTTCTGAGTTTAAATGTATTTAATGAGTATTTAAATGAACACTCAAACAAGTCCTCTCCATATAATCCACTTTTCAGCATACGTCTCTTACCTGCTGGGGTCTGAGTCTTAGTGGGCTGGTGATGTCCACCAGCTCCTGGCTGTGGAGGAGGACTTGCTCCTGCTTGTCCAGTACCTGCTGCTGGGCTCGTGCTGATCAGAGTTCCAGTAGGCAGAGGCTGGCCTCTCTTTAAAAGCTGCTTCTGTTCTTGTTGGCGAAAGCGTGGAGGCACCTCACGAGGCAAGTATCGGGATGCAGCTGGCTGCTGCCCATTGGCAGATGCACGCTTGCCATTGCTATTGTTAGTAATAGTGCTGGTGGAAGTACTGGTACTGATACCGGCAGGTTGGGGCTGGCTTAAACTGGTCTTAATAGGTTCTGGCACTGTGGAAAATGAAACATCAAGTATTAGATTACAGTAGGAAGAATTAAACAACTCATTTTAAGAGGCAACAAAGTGGAAAATGGCTCTTATTGTGTACCCTTTTTCCTCGAAAAATCTCTCCTGTAGACCAGGCTTTTCCCGCCAACCTAGCAGTTTGAAAGCAAGAAATTGCAAGTAGATAAATAGGTACCACTTTGGTGGGAAGGTAACAGCGTTCCATGCGCCTTAGTGTTTAGTCATGCCGGCCACATGACCACGGAAACGTCTTCGGACAGCGCTGGCTCTTCGGCTTTGAAACGGAGATGAGCACCACAACCCTAGAGTCGGACTCGACTGGCTTTCGAGCAAGGGAACCTTTACCTTTTTAGACCAGCTTTAGGCAGTGAGTAATCAGCAATAGACTGTCCCAAAGTTTATGCTAAAAATCAGCATAGGGGACATTTAGCAGCAATCCATTTCTTTTACAATTATTTACTGACAACACTGACTAACACAACTGTTTTGAATGTATGCTCTTCTTGTTGACTATAAGGGATAGAACATATCAACCATCCTCACTGGATAACAAACTCCCTGCCTAAGCTGGCAGAGGCAGTCTTTGTGCTGAGGTTAAATAGCTTTTAATTCAAGGAGACTTCAAAATTGACACTGAAGGTTTCATGTCTGGTGTAGTTTGGGATTTTATAACCATCATGAGAACCACTGATTCAAAATGTGTTAGGCCCTGCACATGCAGAAGATGGCATGCTAGATTTGGTGCTCTCTGAGAACATGGTGGTGACCTGCAAGTCCAGAAGAATCAGCAGTGGACAGATAATACCTGGGCACCTGGTGAGGTTTAAGTCTTTGAGGAATCTCTGCAAGGGAGAGGTCCCAATTAGCGCTAACCCCATCTCTATGTGCTTCAGTAACTTCACTGGCTACTAGTTTATTTCTACATGAGACATAATGCTTACTACCCAATGCTGCCTAAATGGAACCTCTTATTTTCAGATGTATACCCCTGAATACTGGTTGCTTGGGGCAACAACAAGAACAGGCTTTGGTCTCCACAACTCTTGCATGCAGAACTTCTGGAACCTCTGGTTGGCCACCGTGGGCAATAGGATGCTAGACCACCAATGGTCTGGGTGGGTCTTATCTAGCAGGCCATCATATGCAGATACAATTCAAAATGCTGGTTCTTACCTGTAAAACCTTAAACTATATGCAGCCAGCATAACTAAAGGATAATCTACTCCCATATAAATCTGCCCATGTATTAAGATATTTTGATAGGTCCTGCTCCCAGTGCCCCATCTTTGGGGTAGAAAGACAATCTTCTCAATAGCTGCACCTAGGTTATGGGATTCTTTTTATTTATTTATTTAAATTTGATTTGATTTTTCTCTAAATACATCAGAAATGCAATATTTTAAGAATAAGAAGTAATCCAATATATATTAGATATTCAACAACATACAGAATCAATATCTGATACAGTTTCAGTAAGAACTTTTCCCCAAACCCAACTACTACGGTGTGATTGTATTAAGGTATGTAACAAGAAAAAAATAATACTATACCTATAAGCTAACAACATATTGTATAACTACAGAATAGCCAATAAAATAATCTAATGAAGAAGAGGAAGAAGCTAACAGTGTATTGCGATATCCTAATTCATACTGAGGGATTAAGATTCACAACCATTGCTGGACATGAGTCCAGGAGGTAGGAATAAATTGTTCTGTGGTGAGGAAACCTAGAATCGGTTCCCATTTTTTCATAAATTGGTATTTGACTGGCTTCAGGGATACGTTATTCAACTTGCATGCGACACTGTCCATCAAAAACTGGTACCATAGTTTACAGTACCAGAGTTGTATAGTAGACAAGTTGGTGTCTTTCCAACAGGCGGCTATGGAGGTTCTCGCTGCGTAAATCATGTTTAATGTCATTTTGTGTTGATGTTTTTCTATATGTACTGTTCAGTGGTCGAGAAAGAGGCTTTCTGGGCAGATTAGTATGTCTATTCCTATAATATTTCTGACATGGTCATGTATTTCCTCCCCAAAAGTTTTAATCTTATTGCACTGCCACCAGCAGTGGGCGAACGTGCCAATCTGTTGACAACCCTTCCAACACAAGATACTTCGCAGAACTCATATGAGAGGGTTTTTTGCCATGAAAGGTACCATCTCGTCATCATCTTGAACTTTTGTAACTCCAGTGGTATAGAGTGAGGGAAGCTGGTTTGTGACGTCCATAATACTGTCCCGATTTCATCATCTAGAGTGACATCACATTGTTTTTGCCATGATAATTGGTATGGCATAGTTTTAGAAGATTTGTCCTTTAAAAGGAGCTGATAAGTGGCTGAAATTAATCCTCTATTTTGCGTATCATATAATTTTAATATCAATTCAAACTCTGTTTGGGGTTGAGTTAGAATGAAAGTAATTTTAAGTCTACTCATAACATGCTGTATTTTTAAGTAGAGGAACCATGGCACTGGTAATTTTAATTTGCTTTCTATGTCTGATTCTTTTAGTAATCCATGTCTGGATGCAATGTCACAGAAGCGAGACAGGCCTGCTTTTTTCCAGGAATCAAGGTATGTATGATCTACAGATTCCGAAAACCAGGGTTGGTAAGTGAAGGTAGAATACTTAGACACTTCAGGTATTAGTTTCTTACATAGTGATTTCCGTAGATTAAACACTGGGGATAGGAACTCATTGAATCATCTAGAAGCTGATAATATGAGCTTTACACTCCATAATAGGGAGTCTATGGAATACGGATGGAGAAGGTTTGTGCATAGTCAAACCCGGTCAGGTGGGTGTGTCGCACGTTGTGCCTTAATAATATTAGACAACAGTGTTGTCTTTCGGCAGATTGTTATGTCCGGTAAGCCAAATCCCCCTTGTGACTTGGGTTCTCATAATATCTTGAACCCTACTTTCGCTTTATGTTCTGCCCATAAAAAGTCTTGTAGAGTACTCTGCCACCATTTAAGCATTAGTGAAGGTATAGCTATGGGAATAGCTCGGAATAAGAAAATGAATTTTGGCAAAAGAAATTATTTTATTAGGTTATATCTGTCAAGCCAGGATAAATTCAACTTATTCCATTTAAAAATAGTGTTGCGGATTTCAGTGTGAACCTCATTATGATTAAATTGTAGTATTTTGGTTAAAGCTGATGGGATCTTTATTCCTAGATATGATATATAGCTGGAAACCCAACTAAAGTGAAATCGTTGTTTGAGGTATGTTTGTTCTTCCTTAGGGATATTTGCATCATTTATGCGTAAACCTGAGACTACTCCAAAAGAAGACAATGTTTGCCATAGTTCTGGTATGGAAGTTGACGGTTTGGTGATATAAAGCAACATATCGTCCGCGAATAAGGATATTTTATATTCGGAGTCTCTAATTTTAACTCCTTGTATGAATTGGTTTTCCCTGATCGCATGCGCTAGGGGCTCTACTGCCATGGCAAATAACAGCGGGGATAGCGGGCAACCCTGTCGGGTGCCTTTAGAGGATTCCCTCATCAAGCCTATTAGTTTAGTGCCCGCACTACTCAATATCAAGCACCTAAAGATATTTTCATTTACCATGACCTTTTGGTAGCCTTGTGAAATTGATGCTGTTGATAGCTGTGAGTGCTGCTATGTTTCTTTATTGCTTTTATACTGGCTGTTTGAAATTTTATTGTAAGCAACCTCACTGCCTGAAAAGTAGTGATGGCCACAGGCACAGACAGTTTTAAAAGGGGATTAGAAAGGTTCAAAGGGGATAGGTCAATCAGTGGCTGCTAGCCATGATGACTAAAGGGAACCTCTACATTCAGAGACAGCAATCTCTGAATCCCAATGCCAGGAGACAACATCTGGTGAAGGTCTTGGCCTCTATGCCCTGTTTGTGGCCCTCCAGAGTAACTGGTTGGTCACTGTATGAGACAGGATGCTGGACTAAGATGGCCCACTGGTCTGATCCAGCACAGCTCTTATGTTCTCAAGAAGAGATCTTAATTTCCAATAGTTCACTTCCTAGTCACAAATAAAAAGGTTCTTCCCTCCTGAGAGAATAATCCAAAAGGCCTCCATAACGTTTGATGCACACTTTTGTTTTACTATCACCTTTTGTACAACATATGCTTCTTCACATCTCTAAAATTTCCATCCAATAAAAGAAACCATGATACAGTTATGCTACGCTGTGGATTAATAGGAAGGGGATTTAAAAGAAATCAGCCAGTATCATAATGCCCCTATATAAATCTATGGTGTGACCTCATTTGGCCCGATTTTAAGTAAAGTGATACAGGGATGGTCATTTCAAACAGTGCTGTTTTTCCCCCTACCCTTTTTCACTGTGCAATCTTCCTTTGACATTTTTAAACATTCTAAGGTGAGAGCTACAGCACTAAACTGCTATTGGCACCATTGAGATGCATTTTCTCAATGGAATCAATGCAATTCAATGGTGCTGCTATAGCACTGAAGTGCTATGGTGGTTTACCGCTATAGCGCTCAAACTTAGAACTTTTTTTTAAGTCCAAGGAAGATCGTGCAGTGAAAAACGGTGGGAGGAAAGTGGCATTGTAGGAAGCACTATGGACATTTTTAAAAGCACTCCACAGTGATTCAGAAGTGCAATGAAGGGGTTGAAAATGGAAAAAAACAGTTTCCCTCAAAAGTGGCTCAACCATGCTTTGCTAACCCAATGCAAGCTGGTTTGTATGAACAGGTAAATAAATCCTTCCAGCAGCCAGTTACTAAAATGGGTCTGTCTGAAATGACAGAAAAAATCCATTAGCAACCAGTTACTAAAACAGAATACAAAGGCAGTTTGAAAAGGGTCTATAAGTCCTACATCCCTAAGTACAGTTTTCAGACAAAAAACAGAGTGACACAACAACTGAAGGTCAGTTTTGTGTTATTCTAAGCCTTTGTTGTATGGTTCCTCTTATTCAGACCTATTCACTTACTTATTATCAGCCATGTGCG